AGGAGAAGGAGGATGGAATGAAGTAAGGAAAAAGACTTCAAGAAAGAAGATAGACATGTCAAGTGACAGTCTTAGTGAATCTGATTCGCAGAATGAATTGAAGAAAGTAAAGAAAAGGATTGAGAATGAAGAATGGAAAGTGATTGTGGAGTTTGGTGAGCAATCCGCAGCTAAGCTACATCCAGTGGCCCTGACTAAAGCGATTCACAAAGAAATTGGATCGATAAAACAAGCAAGATTTCTGAGCAAAGGACGGATGTTGGTTGAAATGATGAATGCAAAACAACAGGAAAAGTTACTGAAAATGAAGACCCTGAATGAAGTTCGAATTAAATGCCATGTTCCTGGAGCAAATCGGAAAATACTTGGAGTTATCAGTGGAGTTCCGATAGAAATCGGCATAGAAGAACTCAAGAAAGAAATTAAAGGGGGAAAAGTGTCTGTAGTTAAGCGTCTTCCTACTAGGTATCAGGGTAAGATAGTGGATAGTTTGTCTGTTCTTCTTCAGTTTGAAGAAACAATTCAACAGAAGATTATGATCGGTTGCATGAGCTTTCCAGTAAGAGAATTCATCCCTAAACCTCTGCGCTGCTTTAAATGCCAAAGGTTTGGGCATGTGGCAGACAAGTGCAAAGCAACTAAGCCCAGGTGTCCAACATGTGCGGGGGAACATGAATATGGTAGTTGTGCTGCAGGTGCTAAGGTGAAATGTTGTAACTGTGGTGGGGAACATAGTGCTGCGTATCAGGGCTGCGAAGTGCAGAAAAAGGCCAAGGAGGTGCAGAGATACAAAGTGCAAAATAAAGTCTCATATTCTGAAGCAACAGAAAAGGTATCACTAAACATAGCTAGGAAATCCCAAGTAGCAGCAAGTATATTCTCTTCAAAAGATTTTCCCAAACTCCCACAGGCAAAGGAAAGCTCCACAAAGTGTTCACATAAGTGTGTGATAGGAGAGGATGCATTGATTGTTAATAAGTACAAATTTGTGGCCTTTATTGGAAAAGTGGTGAATGTTGCTTTGCAACAAACAAAAAAGAGGTCAAGACTGAAAACAATAGTGGAAGCAGCAGGTGAATCTTTGGGGATAAAGGATATAACGGTTGAAATGATACATGATATGTTAGCCCCCAATAATGATGATTCACAGATTAGTGAATAGATTGATGGTTTTTCTCATTCTGCAGTGGAATGCTAGAAGCCTTATTGCAAATGGACAAGAATTCAAGACCTATATATATCAGTTAAAAGAAAAACCAGACGTTATTTGTATTCAAGAAACATGGCTGAAGAATCATTTGGACTTCATTATTGGGGGATATAGTGCTATAAGACAAGATAGAAATGATGGTCAGGGAGGGGGATGTGCAATCTTTATCAGAGAAATAATGTCTTATAGTAGGCTAACATTTAAGAGCAGTCATGATTTAGAAATAGTGGGTGTAGAAGTTTGGATTAATAAAAGGAATATTAGTGTCCTGAATTTTTATAATCCATGTAATAAACTCAAAATAGAGGAATTAGACAGTCTTTGTCAAGGAAATGAAATAATATGGTGTGGTGATTTTAATGCACATAATACAATGTGAGGAGGGAGATCAACAGATTACAACGGACAGGTGGTGGAGGACTTAATGGAGGCAAATGAATTAGTTTGTTTAAATAATGGGCAAGGTACAAGACTCAATTTTAGAGATGGAACAGAGTCTGCGATCGATCTAACTCTGGTAACAAGTGAATTAGCTTCTGGTAGCAGTTGGGAAGTATTGGCAGATAACAGTATTGGGAGTGATCATCTTCCGATTATAATCAAGTTTGATATAAGTAATGTGGTTGAGCTAGACGGTATCATGAGATGGACTTTTTCTAAAGCAAATTGGGAGATGTTTGCTAAATTGTGTGATAATGAATTTGATCAGATTGATATGGCAGGAAGTATTGATGATATAAATGAGCAATTTACTTCAAATATAATTAAAAGCGCTAATCAATCTATTGGGAATAAAACTGGTAAACTTAGTAAATGTGTTAAGATGGTACCGTGGTGGAACAAAGAATGTAATGATGCAATCCGAAACAAAATCAGGCTGTTTGGAAAGCTAAGAAAGACACATTCATTACACAATTTATTAGAATATAAGAAGGCACAGGCTCAGGTAAGGAAAATTGTTAAAAGAGCAAAAAGGGAGTGTTGGAGAGGATTCTGTTCAAGTATTGGGAGAACTACGCCATTAGATAAAGTATGGGGAATGATTAGGAAGATGAGGGGAATTAGACAGCAGAGTAACCTGCCAGTGTTAGAGACTGGAGGGGAAATTGCCACTGGTCCTATGGAGAAGGCAGAAATTCTAGCTAAACATTTTGTTAAAGTTCATTCTTCGGAAAATTTGACAGAAGAAGGTAAGATCAGGAGGCAGGAAGTGTTAGATGAGCATCCTAATGTATATGAAGAAAGACATTCGTCGCAGAGTGTTGTAAATGTACCTTTTTCTATTCAAGAGTTGAGAAGAGCATTAAGTAAGTGTAAAATGACTGCTCCTGGGAAAGATAATGTATGTTATATAATGTTGACCAAATTAAGTGAGTTTGCATTAGGAAAGCTGCTGGAGATGTATAATAAGATCTGGGAGAAAGGGAAGCTGCCAATAATATGGAAAGAGTCTGTCATTATTCCTATTAGAAAACCTGGGAAAGATCCAACTAGTCCAGGCAGTTATAGACCTAGAGCTCTGACATCGCACTTGTGTAAAGTTATGGAAAGAATGATAACAGAAAGGCTGACATACTACGTTGAGAAAAATGAAATAATGACTCCTTATCAGAGTGGGTTTAGAAGAGGGCGGAGTACTTTAGATCCACTGCTGTGCCTGGAATCTGAAGTTAGGAAAGCCCAAGCGAATAAGGAGTGTGTTGTAGCTGTATTCTTTGATGTGGAAAAAGCTTACGATATGATGTGGAAGGAAGGATTATTAATAAAACTGGACATTATGGGTCTAGGAGGTAATGTATATAATTGGATTATGGATTTTTTGTTTGGCCGTGCCATCAGACTCCGAGTTGGCAATTCTTATTCTCGAAGGCATGAAGTTGAAAATGGAACCCCACAGGGGAGTGTAATTAGTCCTCTTTTGTTTTCTATCATGATAAATGATATATATACACAAGTAGGATCTGATATCGGTAAGTCACTTTTTGCAGATGATGGAGCTATTTGGAAAAGGGGCAGAAATGTAAATTATATTGTAGGTAAGATTCAGGAAGCCATTACGGAAATTGAAAGCTGGTCTCTGACACGGGGGTTTAGATTGTCGGTGGAAAAAACTGAAACTTTATTTTTTACGAGGAAAAGGATAGGTGAGGAGGTTAGGTTAAAACTTTATGGACAAGAACTAAAGAAAGTGAAGACATTTAAATTTCTGGGAATATGGTTGGACGAGAGAGTCACATGGAGTACTCACAATGATAAAGTAGTAGATAAATGTAAAAGGGTTTTAAATGTTATGAGGTGCTTGGCAGGCACTAAGTGGGGGGCTGATAAAGCTGCTTTGAGGAACGTATACACAGCATTAATTAGATCAGCCATAGAATACGGACTAATAGTGTATGGTTCAGCTGCATACTCTTCTCTTCAAAAATTAGATAGAGTCCAGGCACAAGCACTAAGGATATGCTGTGGGGCAGTCAGATCTACACCAGTGTCGGCACTTCAGGTAGAGGTCGGAGAAATACCAATTTTTTTGAGGAGAAAACAGTTAATTGTTAATTACTGGGCAAATCTACAGGGCCATAAAGATACTCACCCTACTAAACAAACTGTAAAAACAAGTTGGGAAAGTAACAAAATGAAAAAAGAAAGTTTTTGTGTTTGTGTTTCGGAATTATGTAAGGAATTCAAAGTTAAAGAATGGAATATTAGTCCGACGGTGTTGTTATCAGCTGTTCCACCATGGTTACTACCTCAACCTATAGTAGATTTATCTTTATTGAAAAGCTTACATTCAATTAAAAACAAAATTAATGTACAGGCTTATGTGAATACTGTTCTACATGAACAATATGGGCAGTTTATACAAATATTTACTGATGGATCCAAAAATCCAGAAAATGGTCAAACTAGTTGTGCATTTTATGTTCCTGAATTAAAAGTAAAAGTGGGAAAGCGGACGAGTGATCATATCGCAGTATATACAGTAGAGATGATGGCTATCTCACTAGCACTTCAGTGGGTAGAGGAAATACAGCCAATACGAGTGGTCATTTGCTCTGACTCCAGTGCAGCTCTGGAGAGTATAAACAACTTCTCTTCAGAATGTCGTCAGGATATTTTACATGAAATTTTACACATCATGTTTAGGTTAGTTCATCTGGGAATTGTTGTTCAATTTGTGTGGGTTCCAGCGCATGTGGGTATTAGAGGGAATGAGGTAGTGGATCAACTGGCAAAATGTGGTTTGAAAGCAAACCAGATTGATATTATGGTACCCATTAGTAGAGCAGAAGTAAAATCTGTTACAAAAGTTGTTATCAAGCAACAATGGCAAAAACTATGGGACAGTAACACCAAAGGAAGACATTTATACCAGATACAAAGGGAAGTAGGAACAGGAAGCACTTGGGGGAGTAGTAGAAGAGAACAGAGCATTAACAGCAGGATAAAAGTGGGTCACTCTGGATTAAACTCATCACTGCATCTGATTGGAAAACATCCAAATGGCAATTGTGATGGTTGCCAACAACCAGAGACAATACATCATGTATTTTTTAGCTGCCCGGATTATAACAGACAAAGACTCATTCTGAAAACTGCACTGGAACAACTCAACATCAAGGACATGGATTTCAAGTCAATATATGAAAGTAAATCAAGAAATGAAGCAAACAAGTTGATCTTCAAATTCCTCAAAAGCACTGGTCTGAGGACAAGGATTTAGTATAAACATTTAATAAACCAACAGTAGGTGGCGATATATGCTCCAAGTGGAAGCGATTCGCCATTAAAGAGAAGAAGAAGAAGAAGAAGAAGAAGAAGAACTTCTTCTTCCTCTGTGTGCTTTTGGACAGCTGTTTCTGTCCACGGCCAGTCCACACTTCAGTTTTCTCTTTATAGATTTTTAAAACACATTGAATAAAGATGGCAGACGATCTGAGAGCAGAGCTGGAGAAATACCTGCAGACTTTAGACATCCAGACCTCCTGCGTGGAGCACCCACCGGTAAAAGCTCAAATGAATATTCCACACTAGAACAAAACACCATTGAATCCTATCAGAAAAACCTCTCATTTAAAGTTGACTTGCTCACAATAACACGTGTTCAAAGACACAGCATGAGTCGTTATAATGCATACCTCTATTCGGCTTTATCCAATACCTTACATTTCGCTTCCTATAGTAAAGGTTTAGCTCTGGGAGGTGTGTTTACCCTTCAACAATACGCTTTTTGACACGTGGACGCATTAAAAAGTTGTCATTTGTAGTAAAAAATGAATTGCATTGCCTGCTACTTGTATGCCGAATTCACCACAAGATCAATTGAACCTGAAATTATGTGATTATTTTCTCCAATAATCATGTTATTGTGAGAAAAGATCAAGCTAAGGTCAAAAGTGATAGTTTTTTAAACGTAGTCTGGGTTGATACTATTTCTGCTCTTAAAACGAATCTATGAGTGGACATTCCTCATTATTCGTAGGCCGAATTGAACATCTGACCAGTCCAACCTGAAATAGTGTTAAGTAATTTATCCTTCAGTTATTTATTTGTGCAAAAATGATTAGAAAACTTAAAAGCGTTACTTTTTTGAGCGGAGTCTGGAATGACAAGTTTAAAACGTCACCTTCTCATTGTGTTGCCTCTGACTTGTAGGCTATGCCACATTTAGCATCAGATAACTCTTTGCTAAAATAGGGTAAAATGTTTGTGTCTTCAGTCGTTTGTTTGTACTTAATGATGCTATAAACAAAGAAACTATACGTTTTTGAAAGGAATCGGTGTGGAAAGTAATTGCCCCTTACCTGTATGATGTGTTTACTATAGGATCAATCGAGGCCACAATAGTGTGTATTTATTTAGAAATAGATATAGCAGCTATCATTTAAAAAACGGAAACTGGGCTAAAGGCAAGATAAACGACTAGTAATTGACTCTTATATAATACGTTTAGGCTACTACTAATTTCCTGACATTTCGGTTTTTAATTCTAACATTTTAAGTTGTATTAAACTTGTATTTTATGCATCTTGGTAGATGAATACTCCACGTGTGTAAACTACTGTGACATTTTTTTTCTTGTGCAGCCCTCGATTTTATGTTTTGAGAAGTAAATGTGTTATATCTACCCTATATATACCCTGTCTGATTTGTTTATGCTGCATTAAACTGATGCAGCCTGCAGGGGGCGCTAACGCATAACGCTTATTTCTGTCCTGCAGCTTCACATGTCAAATATTATACTGTAGGCTTAGACAAAAGTTTTCCATGCATAACAGTTGATTTGTCCTGCAGGAAACTAGATTTTCATCTCATTTTCTAGTTCTCATACTGTTTTCTTATGATTCAAAACATTATTTCGTCATAATTAGAGACTTTACATAAATCCTTGAATTTAAAATAAATATCTCAGAAATTCCCATAATAATTTTCCCTAAAAACTCCCAAATAAAATATACAAGTGTTCAAATCTCAGAATTTGTAATAATTTATTTATGTTATACGCCTATAACACATTACGTGTGTTATAGGCGTATAACATAAATAAATGTGTGTTCTGTAAATGTGTTAAAACATCCTAATTCATTGTTAAAAAAGTAGTGCATGAACTGTAATGTATTACAAAATATTGTTGAATGACTTAATACATAGTTGTCTATATAGTTACAAAGTGTCTTAAACTATTGTTAACCCACCCCCCCCCCCCCAGGTGTTCACGGTGGAGGAGATGATGCCTCACCTGCAGGAAGTGAGCGGAGCCGTCACTAAGAACCTCTTCCTGAAGGACAAGAAGAAGAAAGGCCTGTGGCTGGTGTCGGCCCGCCATGACCGCCAGGTAACAACACACACACACACACACACACACACACACACACACACACACTCACACTCACACTCACACTCACACTCACACTCACACATTTACCTGTACTATTTTATCTGTGTTATTGTGTTGCACTGTTGGAGGAGCCTGTGACCTAAGATTTTCATTGTCATAACTACACTGTAGCTATGCACACATGACAATAAAAGCCTTGAAAACTTGAAACACCCCTCCAGGTAGACTAACCTCCTACACGTCCCATTATCCTCTCTGTTCCTCTGCAGGTGAACCTCAACGACCTCGCCAAGAAGCTCGGCGTCGGCAGCGGCAACCTGCGCTTCGCAGACGAGGCGATCATGTTGGAGAAACTCAAGGTGAGACGAGAAATGAATACAATTAACTTTAAAACTACTCTTAAATTACTGTGTCATTGTCATGTTTATATATATTTTTTAAATAAAAAATGGATGGCATAATTGTTGAGTCCATATTCCCCTAAGGTATTGAATATTCAGTATTTATTAAGGTATAATATCTAGTGTTTGAGGCTTGAGCTTCAATCTCAGGATCCATGTATTTCTGATCCTCTCCAGAATGGAAGTAGTCATCACATACAGAGCATCAACTAGTTCCTGAACAGTGTCCTTCACATGCTGATATACAAGAGAGGGAGTTACACAGTCACAAGATGGAGGAATATAAAGCAGTATTCAATGTTTAGTTCAGATTAGCTCCACGTCAGAAATGATCATGCTTGTCATATGTCTATCTCCATAGAGGCTGAATCATCATGTTAATCACATAGCTATCATATGCCTAAAACAGTCCTGATGCTCTTCTAGGTAATCATACATCCTGTCATGCACAATCTAGGAATCCCAGTATGCTGATAACCCTGTTCTTTACTTCCTGTCTTGATTCCCTCTCAGGTGGGTCAGGGCTGTGCGACGGCCCTCGCTCTGCTCTTCGATCGAGACCACAGTGTGAAGTTTGTCCTGGACCAGGACCTGGTGGAGGGGGGTCATGAGAGGGTCTTCTTCCACCCCATGACCAACAGCGCCACCATGGGGCTGCGACCCGAAGACCTGCTGCGCTTCCTCCAGGAAACGGGACACGAGCCCGTCCTGCAGAGCTTCGACTAAACGGGACTTAGACATGGACATGATTTGGACATAAACATGGGTTAAGAAGACAAACCTGCAGAGACAAACATGAACTTATTCTTCTTTTTTTTAAAGATTTTACCACTATACTTTTATTATTGTGAAAGAACACGAGGCATAATGTGTAAGATGGATATACATGTTTCAAAAAGGTATATGCTGCGTTGAATGAATGTTATCTATGAACTGTTCAAGTTACAAAAAATACTGTGCAGTAAAATATCTGAATACTTCAGGTGAAGTCATTTTTGTTGGTTTTCTGTCTCTTTCTTTTCCATAATAATGTCATGTCTAAGGAAGAGGATTAAGGCCACATGAAAGAATCTTTTTGGGGATGTGAAAAAAAAAAGTATTTGTTATATCTCTCACAAGCTCCGCCCTCTACTGGACTCTACTACTCCCCTCGATCCTATCATGCAAGCATTCATCCACTGAGACTTTCTAGACGTAGCCGGCCCCTGGGCGGGCCTACCTGAATGCGCGCGCATCTCACCGCATAAAAGGAGGCCTCGCCTCTTTACTGTCATCCCTTTCTCTTCAGCAAGGCAGTGAGATACAACTGAGTGAAGAGAGACAGATACAAATATAAGACAACGAAGAAAATGGACTCACCATTGGAGCGCCCCTGTCCGGGCTCCATAGAGGGCGACGACCCCCACTGTCGGTGCATCGAGTGCCTGGGGTCCGACCACGCGGCGGCCAACCTGGGCCTGCTTGCAGTCTGCAGCGCCTGCCAGCTAATTCCTCGCCCGCCATCAAACGGCTGGCGCAGTTTGAGGGTTGCTGCGTCTCGCCGGTGGAGGACCCAGAGCTCGACGTGGTGGAGATGGAGGACCTCGAGGAGGGAGTGCCCGTCGTGTTCGCCATTCAGCGGACCGGGCGGGTCCGAGCGTCGGGGAGAGGGACGACGATGACGACAGGACTTCCCGGCGCGACAGGACTTCCCGGCGCGACAGGACTTCCCGGCGGTGATGACTATGGCGGCAGAGCGTGCAGGAGGAGTGCTAAGGATTGCGTTCAGGTCGTGGGCTATTCAGTTGGGGGGTTTTAATCTTCCCCCCCATAGTGGGGCGAGGGAGGCTAAATTACACCTCCTCTGCCCGGTGCGTGCGCTGGCATATTATGTGGAGCGCACGGCTGCCCTTACACACACGGAACAGCTGTTTGTGTGCTTCGGGGGTGGGGTAACTGGAAAAGCTCTGTCAAAGAAACGCCTGGCAGGCTGGCTCTGCGAGTGCATTGCACATGCCTACGGACAGGCGGGGAGAGCCTTCCCCACGCGGTGAGATGCGCGCACATTCAGGTAGGCCAGCCCAGGGGCCGGCTACGTCTAGAAAGTCTCAGTGAATGAATGCTTGCATGATAGGATCGAGGGGAGTACCCATAGAGTCCAGTAGAGGGCTCCGCCTGTGTTTATATAACAAGGGTTACCATACGTAACCTCTCGTTTTGTTCTGAGAAAAAAGTCAAAATATCTTTTTTCACATCCCCAAAGTTCTTTTTTCACGTGGCCTTAATCCTCTTCCGTACATGTCAGCCTATTTTTGGTGAGCATTTTATTTATGCAAAACACAATAATAAATAAAGATCAATCGTCAATAAACCTCAAATTTGTACTTAGATATGTTCATGTTTATTTAGGATCCCCAGTAGCTTTTGCTCTTGACAAAAGCTACTCTTCCTGGGGTTCGACACTTAAAACAATACAACAATACAACATAAGTCCTGACATTAACAACATCACCAACATCATCAACAATCTCATCCACTTTCAATATCAAACTCAGTCAAGGATGAGTGCACAAGACACCCACCACTAATCAAGTGGAAACGAAAGGAAAGGAATGAACCCGAAGCAAATATAAAACTATTTTATTGGACTTCTGTAATTAACTTTGACCTTCCTTGAAGTAAAAACGTATATGTATCATGTATTATTATATTTAAGTAAGTGTTATAAATATGATGTCCTTTTAATTTTCAGTTTTACTGTTGTATTGTGTAATTTAAACTATATAAATATTATTTGGCTATTTGAAATGTGGATAAGACTTTGAGGCTCAAGGAAAGAGCCCGCCTATTTGCATTATGGGAAATGTAGGATCTAATGTTTTTATAGCCTCATTTAAAAAGAAATGTCATTATTTATCCTTTACTACATATAGAAATATAATGTCAAATGACTTTAAAAAAAAAAAAATAGATAAAACTGATCATTATCATAATAAAACGATAAAGTAATAAAAAACTTAAAAAAAATAAAATATTTGTTATAATAAGTAATTATGAAATTGTAGTATCCAGCGTTTTATATACAAACAATCAGAATTTCTCTTTTGCTCCCTGTGTGTGTGTGTGTGTGTGTGTGTGTGTGTGTGTGTGTGTGTGTGTGTGTGTGTGTGTGTGTGTGTGTGTGTGTGTGCGAGGCTCTCTGCATTCCTAATGAGTGTGTATTGTTGCATTGTTGTGTAAAATTAGCAAATGAATAAAACGTTACATACTGACTCAGTTCCCACGCTGAGTGTGTGTGTGTGTGTGTGTGTGTGTGTGTGTGTGTGTTTGTGTGTGTGTGTGTGTGTGTGTGTGTGTGTGTGTGTGTGTGAGCGTGTGTGTTTGCCCCTGTTATTGAACAAAGACATTTTGATGGGAAGAATCCTGTGTGGGAAAATGTATTCATCAGCTGCCTCTCTGCAGGCCACTTTTTAAATAAATGTTTATACTTCTGATTTTGAGGTGAGTTGAGGACACACATGTCAGCCTCAAGAAATGCCGATGAAATATATACATTTTATTTTTTAATAACTAAGACCAGTCATGATCATTACTCATTTTCAAATGTTTTAATTAATTTAATTGGTCACTTCATTAAGTATTCAAAGTTAAATAGTTTTAATATATTATTTAAACTCAAAAAAAGTTTCTATATCTCTGTTTTATTTATATTAAATAAATATATAATATAATATGTTGTTGACTGATTTGATTTTCAGATTATTTTCATACATTTTTATACTTTATTTTAAAACATTCAGACAGGTAAAATACATAATAATAATTAATTAATAACAAAGAAAATAATTATTGTATGAAAGTACAATAACTAATAAACTAATAATTGTTCTTCCTAGATATTGACTTGTACAATTTGACAGTATTTATAATTTCTTTCAGTATTTAAAAGCGACATAGTATTAATAGTGTCTTTAAACTCACACAGGACATGGATTCAGTCTGACGGACGCTTCCCCTTTAAGAAGACCAGGAAGTGCATTGGAGTAAAAAGGGGGTGCGTCTCAGAGAGGGGAGGAGCTTAGTGAGGAAACAGGTGTGTGTGCTGACAGAGATGATGTCATTTCGTGGCTGAGTCACCTGGGAGACGGCTGGCTGTAGAGAGAAGCGTGAACAGAGATAAAGGAGGAGGTAGAGGAGAAGGAGCTTCATCACTCCTGTTTACTCCCCGAGGAAGAGGAGGAAGCGGAGGAGGAGGAGGAAGAGGAGGAGGAGGAGAACGAGGCATTTTAATACTGCTGCTTATCAAGGTGAGAGATTACCGTTTATTCTTCATCCCCCACAAGGCCACCAAACTCCATTTAAACTGTGCTAATTTTAACTGCTTTGATTGTGGTCAAAACATAGAAATCATAGATATCATGGGTCACGTTTCTTTCAGTTCAGGCTTCCTTGTGAGTTCTGTGTGTACATTGTTTCTTTAAGATGTGCGTGTGTTGTCTCTTGATAGTGAAAAACAATACTGTATATGTAAAACACCAAGAGACACTCTTCTTTTGCTCCCTCTGTGGCTGATCACTCTCACCAAACTCCATTCAAAAAATCTGCACATTTTAAAGGGGCCCTGTTAGGCTCATTTTCAGGTTCAGTATGTAGTGTCTCTACTTTAAAGAGTCCTCTCCTGCTGATGTTCAGGTGTATATCAGTATGTAGTGTCTCTACTTTAAAGAGTCCTCTCCTGCTGATGTTCAGGTGTATATCAGTATGTAGTGTCTCTACTTTTAAAGAGTCCTCTCCTGCTGATGTTCAGGTGTATATCAGTATGTAGTGTCTCTACTTTAAAGAGTCCTCTCCTGCTGATGTTCAGGTGTATATCAGTATGTAGTGTCTCTACTTTAAAGAGTCCTCTCCTGCTGATGTTCAGGTGTATATTAGTATGTAGTGTCTCTACTTTAAAGAGTCCTCTCCTGCTGATGTTCAGGTGTATATCAGTATGTAGTGTCTCTACTTTAAAGAGTCCTCTCCTGCTGATGTTCAGGTGTATATCAGTATGTAGTGTCTCTACTGTGACATGTCTCCATGCTTTAATGTTGAAAAAGCTCTTTATTTGTCTCATACTGCCTGTGCTGCAGCACCTCTTTCACCCTCTGTCTGAGACCAGAGCCCAGTCTGCTCTGCCTGCCAGCTCTGTTGTGATTGGTCAACCGCTTAGAGATGTCCCGCCCCTTAGCCTATCGCGTACAATTTGTTGGAGCGCTAGCTAATACAAGCGCGAGTGTTACATAGTGATGTCACTATCCGTTGCGGAAGTAAACAAAGTCCAATGGTGTCGTTTCAGGCAGGGGGGGGGGGGGGAGTGTGTGGGTCAGAAACACTCTGGAGGGAACACAGGGATGATAATACTTACTTTTACTTAAAGGTGGCGGGGTATGTAATTTTGGAGAAACCAGCTTGAGTGCGCTAGAATTTGAAAGTACACAACCGGAAAAAATCTGCCCCTTCCTTCAGACTTCCTTACAGAGCCCCTCCTCCAACACACACGAACGCGCACATGACCAATGAGGGCACGAGATAAGTTTGTGCACGAGATGGAAGGCTGACAGGCAGGTAGGCCATCCAGTTATTTTAGCCGGGCCGGCTCAGATAATTGGTCGTGCTTTTTACAGCGCCACGGCTTCCACAGATGACGGAATATAACAAAAAGTGTTTCTGAAATAAATTACATACCCCACCTTTAAGTTACCTTTACAAAGCAGGTCCTTTACTTGTAAAACACACACTACGGCTTGTATCAGAGTATTTATCCTGTATGCTATTACTTTAACTTAAATAAAGGATCTGAGTACTTCTTCCAGCTCTCATTATATGTGTAAAAACATCCAGCAGACAGTATTTCCTGCAGCTGGTTTCGTGGTCAGTTTGGCTCCAGTTAGACGTCACTCCCTGTTTTTGGTTTGCTGTATTTCTTTGGATCTTGCAGACTCTGCGTGTTTTGGTGGGAAGCTGCATGTATTCTG